GAGCTCGGGACTCATTTTCTTATTTTTCTTCCAAATAGGACTTCTTTTGTCTGACTAGAGGAACAAAAAGCTGGATTTGGGGCACCCACAGTCCACGGATTAGTCTGCCTCACGTAAGCAAGAGGAGGGAGCAAGGGAGACACTCAGAAAACACACACGTTAAGTGGCTTGGCTGAAGCTGTTGACTGCAAAGAATTAAAAATCCATCTGTAACAAGGGAAACTCTGCACAAACAAAAGCAAGTTTTCAGGAACGAGTCCTGGATTTGTCTCAGCTTTGGGGTTTTGTTGCTGTCAAGGCCTTTCCAAAACAATCCTGAGGGTTTTTTCTCCTCTAAACGCCCTAGACAGCCAGAAAAAATCTCCTTTCTGAGGCTCTGGTGAAGCAGGACTGCATCATTCCACATCACAAGCGCTGGAAAACTTTCGTGGTAGGAAAGAAAAGCTCAGTTTAATGAATACTACAGCTGTGAACATTTTACACCCAAAATGAATGCAGTTCTGCACACAAAGGCACTGATTTGGTTTGGAAACTGCCGGCCACAAAAGGAAAGTAACAAGGGAAAATCAGAGAGTAACAAGCATTGCAGGGGGAGGGCTGCAGGCAGAGCATCTGGCAAGGGCCACGTGAGGAAAAGCAGAGGGGAGGAAACTCCTCACAAAGATGGGTTTAATTCATCAGCCCAAAACGTGGGTGTGCACTGGGGGGTCTGTGGAGAGCTCAGGTTTGGAGCTCCCTCTCAGTGGGCTCTGCCCATGGGGCTGAGCAGGGATGTGCCAGCACTGCCAGGCCTGTGCTAACAACAGCCTGAAGCTTAAAGGGATATTGTGGGTGATTCCTTCCGCAAAACTGCCCCAAAAGTTCCTCCTCTCACCAGCAAACAAAGCAGCAAAGAGGACGTGGCAGAACGGCAGCCTGCACTGGGCCTGCTCACACACACCTACATGTGTGACAATGCTACCACGCTCTTGAGTTCAAAGCCAGACAGGCCCAAAAATGCCCATTTCCATCAGCTGCCACCATCCAAACCAGGCACGGGCTCCTGAAGTCACCTGGCCAAAACATTATTTTTGTTGAACGCTCTTCTGTGAGAAGACAGAATTTGAGCCCAGCACATGCATCATGTTCCAAACACCACATCCAGCCACAAAGATCAAAGCTTTGGGACAGATGGAACAGCCTGTCTGGCTACAGACAGCCAAGCAAAAAGGTCAGAGGTAACAGGAATGCTTTTTGGCCTCCCATTATCCATGTCCTGCTTCTTCCAGAACAATCCTAAGCCAGGCTGATGAGGAACAAAGCTTGCAATGAGATTAAAGTGAAGAAAAATTACATTCCTGGCTGCTTTAAGAGGAGCCACTTCTTGTGTGGAGCATCCTAAAGACAACAGCAAGATGCATTTGAGGGCTCTCCTTCACAAGAGAGGGGCACAGGAGCACCCTGGGCAGCAGCAAAGATGGCACCAACCCACTGGCAGAGCCAACACAGCCCTGGCCCTGGTTTGCTCAGCTCAGAACAGCTCAGGGACAGCTCTGCTCCAAAGGAAGATGTGCAAGGTCCCTGCAGACGGACAGGGGGCAAACCCCACCCGTGCCCAGCCCCACTCACCCCGGCAGAAGTCCATGAGGATCAGCACCTCCCACACGTCCCCACTGCTGACTGAGCTGATGCTGGAGTCGATGTAGCCCACAATGTTCTTGTGGCCAGACAGATCCCGCTGCAAGACAGACAAATCCACA